ACGCTCTGACGACGGTGACAATGGCCACGAGCACGACATGGAGGTCCGCCCGTGCATGTATACGATCGGGGCCCATGATGCTGCACAATTGTAGCATCGGACCGACCGGCCATGCGTCGCCCTCGACGTAAACATTGAGGAGCGGCATTGATAAGGAACTTGGCCGATGCCCCGGACCCCGCCCTAAGACTCTACGCAATCTATATACCGCTTGTGATCGATACAACGTGGCGCCGACCACCCACCCACTTGTATATCAATCGTCTTAAAGCTTTAAAACACGCATACACGAGCGAGCGAGCGAGCGAGCGAATGGACGATTTTCGCGCTTTTGCATAAGCGAGTATTTATAAGCAATCAAATCGTTATACCCCGTTGCATAAGGAGATAGAGTAGAAAATTTGCAGTAAGATTTTTATGCTTACAAAACGAGTAGCGTAATATGATCTAAGACATTGAAGTGTGAAATATTGCCTCGTGCACAAGGACGCGCGAACCGGGCGGGCAACATAGCAAAATTATATTGACTTTATAATTATACGAATATAAATAAGTGTTAATGCGTGCATTTTAATTCGCAATTTTCCACGCGCGTTTCTGCTATTCTGAATTTTGCAAATTTGACGTCAGGCCCGAAATCGCCGTATCCGAAAATATTTTATTGGCAAAAAAACAACTTAAAATAGCGTATGTACTTGCGTACAGTCAACTGCACGTAATACGCAGTAGCAGCAGTATAGCAGTAACAGCAACATTACCATACCATCACCGTCACCACCACCACCACAACCACCACCACCACCACCACCACCACCACCATCACCACCACCACCACCACCACCATTACCATCACCATCATCGTCATCATCATTATCAGCGGACGATCCAAGGGTGACTTGAGTTTTCGACTTTCAAGGGAGACTTAGTCAATAGAGAATCAAGGTCAAAGACGTAAACAGGAATGCTATTGTGGGCGTCATTTTTTCATAAATTTTTTCTCTACTGCATTCGCAATTAACAACGCGCGATAACGTGGGTGAGGCGGAAAAAAAAACCAAAAGAACGGTAAGAAAAGGAGCCGAGGCACGTGCTCGCATATGACTTACCGTAATCGCCGACGTAGTCCCCTACGTCATCGAATGAGTCGACCGAGATCAGGTAGCTGTAGTCCGGCTTAACCGTGGGTACGATGCCTCTGCTCGACATCCCGGTGCAACGCTACGTACCGCGAATCGTGAACTAACGGCACCTTACAGCAAGCGAGGAATCGACCGTCAAACTCGCGGCCCTGATCGATACCCGTTGGACAGGTCGAGGGGAGGAGGTGGGCGGATGCCAAGACGAACGATGACGCGCAATGTCAAAAAGCCGCGTGGTGAAACCGTCGATCCACCCAGGATGTGCGTGCTCGCTTTATTTAGCCATCACGGGAGTCGATACTATGTTAGATTCTCGGCTCCCCCTAGAATCACTTAGCCAATTCTTTTTGCACTGGCTTAACAAGCTTTGCATCGCTGTACATGTATGGTACTTATACGGTTGTGACTTCAGCCTCTACGATCGCTGCAGCCGCTACTGTTGCTGCCGGTAATGCTACCGCTATTATGACTATTATGCGGATTAGCCACGCGGTTAATTAAGATTGTTGGCACGAAACGTTACGCGCTAAAATGAAGCAGTTGCGTGGATTAAACTGTAGCGAGCAGTACAGGATATTACCTCGATCTTGTAACTTACGTTCGCGGATATTTGACGGATGATGACAAGGCGTGGTTAAACTGTCGCCATCTCCTTCGCCATCCGGTTCGTAATATACATTTCCATTTGGGGCATCCGTCACTAGATTCATGGCAACTGCCGTCGTCTCGTCCATCCTTCTAAAACATTGTTGGCTTATTTAAAAAGAACGACAAAAAAACCCTTACACATTTAAGATGATATATTGCCAATAAGTGTGCGATTGCATGCATAAAATTATGTATTTAAAAATAATATTTATTTCCATTTAGAATTCGGCAAACATTCCAACCGACGCTTTTATCTACTTTGAGCGTTATTATATATCGAATGAAATTACGGTTGACCCGTTCGTTCCTTTTAAAATCCATATGAAGATAAAATGTTAACGGTCTCACGACTCGAGTATATAAAAAATCATTGGCTCACCAGTAAAACTTTTCTTCGATGTTTCCGGCAATTTATGTCCACCTTCCGCGCAACAATTATCAATCCGCAATGCACATTGAACAGCGGACGAGATCGATGCAACTACGTTTTTTATCTTTCAACTCACACATTTATCAACTTATGAAAGAATCACGTTTTTCCGCCTTAGGCTCCTGCTCGAGCTCTTTATCTAAGCTATTTATAAATATAAATATACATAAACTGTAACAATAATGACGATATTAATATTAAAAATATAAACATTAAAAATATATTTTTTTGTTATGACTAATACGATGTTTGTTTTACGTATTTATTTATTTATTTTTTAATATTATGAAGCTAGTTAGTCGGTGCGTTTAAGGAAACACAATTTTATACTGTTTGTTCTTAATCAGTGTGCATTGGTGTCGTTGTTCACAACTTTACACTGCAGACAAATTAATAGAACGAGAATTGCAAAAAACTGAATATTGAAATTTTTGTTTTATACTTTAACAACTAAGTAAAATGTGTGGTCGCACAATAAAGAAAGAATGAAGGAACAAGGAGGAGGATTTGAGTGGTAAAGTTTATATGATGCTAATCGGTACGACAAAAAAAATATATATATATATATATATATATATAGATATACTTCGACATATATTTGGGTATAAACGTTCGGGCGAAGGAAAACAGTGTGTCAAAAGAAAATGCAGGTCGGAAAATGATGAAAGAAGAAGGTTAGGAAAGTCGAATCGTAATAATGCGTAAATACGCGTTGAATAATATTACCATCGATAATAGCGACTTCGCTTCTTCCCCACCTCGGTTAAACAGGAGATTCGTTTTTGAAGGGGCGCGCGAGGTGTCCTCCTACAGAGTAAGCCGACCAGCGAGTGCTATTGTCCCATTCAGGCGTCAGGTATCCTTGGGGTAGGTTCCGCGTGGCCGGACAGTGGCAGCCGCGTGGCGTATATTGGGCTCATGAAGAAGGCGACGACTGTTCGACACCTCGCGCATCGCGACCTACGTAAGGACGGAGTGAGAAAACGCGCGCCGCCAGCCGGCGATTGGCTCTCGCTACCGCGCTCGCGCCCCACGACCAATTGCCGTCGTATGCCTGCCTGACACCGCGAAAATCCATAACCAGCGGTAAAGGAACTCTCAGCACGGAGAGCATTCCAGACGACTTGTGTGCACCTCGTCGCCGCTACCGTTGTCGCCTTCGTCGGCGTTTCACAGCCAGCCAGCCAGCTAGCCAGTCAGTCAGCCCCCCCCCCCCCAAGACCCCATATAACCCACTCCCTTCTTCTCGCCCTTCCCGCCTGACCGCCCACCCCACCACCCACAGCCTCGGTCAGCTCTGCCCCGCCCCGCTTCACATAGCCATTCATCTCAATATGGTTGGTGTAAATGATAAACGCACTCGTTTTAAGTTTTATTTAATTAGTCGCATTTAATGAGCCTTATTATATATGTACATAAACGGTATTGTTATTGCTCGTTCGCAGAGTTACATTATCATTACAGTTTTATTATACAAAATAATAAAAAGCGTTGCATCACGCTTTATTGTTTAAATAGCTTTGTGCAATTGATACTGAAGTTTGAATTAAATAATAATGCATTAATAAAAATATCAAGAACTAGAATACTAATTGAAATCAAAGTCACTCTCAGTATTGGAAAGATTTCTCTCGATGAAACTCTCGGAATCCGAGTCGAGGATTAATTTTATAATATCTTTCTTCTTTGGTTTATCTAATGAGCTGCTCGTCGTTCGTTTGACTCCTGTATTACTCTCTTCTTCATGCTCTGAAGCATAATTATTTACTTGATCATTTGGGCTAATTACTTCGTAATAATTGACAATGGGCTGCTGTTCCTCGTTCGACTCCGGCAACGTATTATCATTTCCTAATATCTCAATCGATTGAGATGCATTTCCTTCGACACAAGTCTGTGCCTGCTGCGAATAATCATATCCTGATTTTGAATCGTAATTATTTATATTGTTTTCCTCGTTGTTTGACCCTTGATCAGGCTGTTGTTCATTATCATTGTACTTTTCATATTTACCGGCGAATTGTCGGTAAGCTTGATTGGAATCGTTTTGATTGTATAGTCCATTTGAATTATACTGCTGATTGAGATCGTAATTTTGTGTTAAACCATATTGTTGACTTAACTCATACTGTTTTGGATCGTATTGTTGATACTGTTGATTAATATAATTTAAGTATTGTCCGTCGGCGTATTGTTGATTTTCATAATCGCCATTTACATCGTACAAATATTGTTGATTAGAATCATTGGCATACTTGTATTGCTGTTCATCTTCACTTTGTTCTTGTTTATAATTTTCAACGTACTGTCGATTATCCGGATATTGCTGTTGACGACCATTGCCATCCTCTGCGTAATATTCCTGATTACTCATATACTCTTCATTGTTTGCATTCCCATTGCCATTTTTCAATAAATTTACCGAACTAACGTCGACGTTTCCTTCATTAACTTCATTCTTAAAGCCGGGTACTTCCTCTGTATTAATCAGCACGTCGTTCTCCTTAATTTCCTCGTCTTCGGGCTGATCAACCTCTTCTATGGACTCTAATTTCCTTCTGAGCCTATCTTGAATATTATCCTGCAGTTTTATTTCCTGGACTTGCTGCTCCACGTCATTCGGCATCCATGAATCTATATCGACCGTGTCATCGTAGTCATCCTCTATACATCCATCGTTCTCATCCTTAAATAAATGATCAGGCGCATTATCGATTTCAATGGATTTCTGCATTTTTAGAACTTCCGTTAACATAGATTCTTCTTTGGAAAGAAGCTCGCGATTTTGTTGAATCAAACGACGCGCCTCGTCTAAATCGGTTTTCTTCGAGACAATCGTCTCTTTAGATGGCCATTCTGTTTTCCCTTGGCCGATGCGAGTCCGGGGCACATCGGTATTTGCATCTGGTTGGCTTAATCTCTCGAAAGCAATGGCCCATGAATCACGAGCATTGCTCGATGCATTGGTCAAATTTTTCGAGTCACTAGTGATCGAATTACTTTGAACGAAATCACGAAAAGTACGGAATTTGCTTTTCACTTTCTTCCATTCTTCATCCACTAATGGGGGCAGTGGATTTTCCGATAGGGTTACATTTAATAGATCACCACTTGTATTCTGTTCATAATCTGCTGTTTCAAAACTATTGTCAAACTCATTATCACCATTCCGTTGTAAATCTGTATGAAGTCGCTTGATTTTTTCGATATAGTTACCCAAATCTTGCTCGGCTATCGAGACATCATCGGGTGATTTTCTTGAGTCAAGCTTCAAATTATTGTTGTTTATTTGTGCATTTGCTTTCAAAAAACTCGAATATTTCCATGCGTCATCAAGGTAACTTGGAAAATTTGAATAATAGTTCGTCGAAGCAGCTACAATGTTTTCAAACTGTATTGGCGATGTAGTAGCCTCGGTAAATTTGGTATTTAAATTTTGTCGATGCTCTGTTGATTTTTCCATCGCATTGAGCTTTTGGGTATTTTCATAATCTAAATGTGGTGAAAATTTACTTAAGTCAGCTTCTTGATTAATATACGGAAGCAGATTTTTAGGAACCGTTTGCAGGGTCTTTGAAAAAACAGGACTTGGAGAGATTTCTTGATCATTTTGACTTTCTAAACCACTATCGGCCGTTACACTTCGATTTTCCCGTTGTCCCCCGTAAACACGTAATAAATAAGCTTCATACTGTTTCTATAATAAATTAACCTATAGATATTATCAAAGATCATCGTATCAAAAATGTTATAATTATGCAATTATCTGATACTCACTCTCAAAACATTAAGCCTCTCTGTTTTAGCAGTCATTAATACTAAGCTAGTATCAATCTTATCTAATGTTCCGCGTAATTTATCATTCCTATCTTCCCTTAATTTTTGCTCCTCGAGAAAATCCACGTAACAAATCCTTAATTTATTAATGCACGCTTGGTGTCTAAAAAACAGCATATTAACATAATTAGAAAATAATATTGATTTCTTCATATATTAAAACTAAATGTAAAAAAAAAGAAAAGGAAGCATTTAGTTTAATATTGATGATTTTAATAAAACGATAAAAATATAAAATTATGATTTCTTATCTTTCGTTCTACAAGGATTTACTTTATTTTATAGTATTAATATTCTGTTGTCACGAAAGGAAGGCACCGAATTGATTCGTGCTTTTACGAAGTTTACAAGGTCAGGACAAATATTAGTATAATTTTTAAAAAGTAGAACTATTATAGTTATAGCGCGCAAAAACTATTTCACTTCTTTTCTCAAATGATCAATAAACCACATTTGCATTATACTGTTAATACTCGTCCATTTCTTAGCTTTTTTATGCAATACCGATGTGCATGGCATTGTTTGTGTTCACATTAGATCGATTGAATTATAAAAATCATAATGTGGAGCAAAGTGCTATCAATAAAATTGCAATCAAAATAGTTAACGATAATAAAAAACTATATGAAAATTTTTTGTAAAAATTAATGTTTTTTAAATGTTTAATGTTTAATGTTTGTTTTAATAGCAATCAATATAGTAATATATTAAGTTTAACACTCACCTATTTCGTGACTCTTGAACCATAAGATTAAACCTCTCTTCCAACCTAATTCTTTCCTCCTCGCTGTAAAAAAAAAAAAAAAAGAAAAAAAATATATATATATGTATGCATGTATGTATGTATAAGCGGTACGTAACAACGTATCTTGCATAAAAGTGATTCATGATCCAATTAATTTTTACATTAAATACAAATAGATTTATTTACCTCTTTCGTAATTTCTCCTGAAGATCCAGCATATTTTTATAATGATTTTCTTGTCCATTATACAACGGTATCATTTTGTTACGTTAATGATTGACAATTTTCGTATTAAACAACAAAGAAAATACTCATATTGAATATTAATGTATATTTCATAATGAAATCAATACACGCCGCGTATGTTTAAAATCAATCAGCGTGAATTTTATTTTACTACGAAATAAATAATAAAAAACACAATAATTTTTATTGAAAACAAGTGAATTAGAAAAGTAATCGTACAATTTCGCATCGACAAAAAAAAAAAGATGGTAAAAAGTACAAGTGAAACCACTCTTTGTAACGACGCTTAACACAACTGTCGCATTTAACGTCGCGGTAGTAGAATAGGGGCTGTTTTACTACCAAGTAGACATACAGGTGTTCTACCTCCTTCCCCACTATTTTCCCTGTAGTATTGAGCACCTGCCACATGCGAGCGCATGTATTCTATCAATTTGAACAATTCCCGACTCGCTGTCTCGGCTAATAATCGAATATAAGTAACCGAACTAAATAAATATATGTTATATCATCGTTTTAATTATTTATGCGAATTAGATGTTTTAATGGGTTTAAGCGCGAGTTCGCTAATATGCCCTACGAATAAATTCGCGAAAATTTTAATTATATTCACTAAACTTTGTAATTTCAAGTTTATTTGTCCGCTCCACACGTATTTCTTCTAAATTTAAATTAGTTAGCGCCGAGTAATTGCGTGATAATAGCGAGTTTTAAACTTTGCTTGATTTCCTACTTTTATTAACGTACACTTCAATGATAATTCGACTTGTTGTATATTATATTGTGTTAAGAGGAAATAGAATTCTAAATAAACATTAATTATACTGAGCAAAATTTTATTTAATGAAAACATTAAAGCATAACTAAGTCATTTAAGTTAATTTACAATTATACATTCTCTCTTTCCATAAATTGTGTGGAAGTGCTTGGATAATATTGAATTAATTATTGTTTTCATAAAAAAAATTTGGTAAAGCTCATCTTCTCTAAGTCTGAACTGTCGTCTGGTTTAGTTGAAAACATTGTAAGCGTTAAAATTATTTAACTTTACGATTATAATACAAAATATAAAATAATTTTTTTTTAATCTTTTGAACATTTAATTACCTCTAAATTATAGGGATGATGTGAATTTTTGGTTGCCTTCGATATATGAGTTAAATATATCTTATTATCGTCTACTTCTCTTTCCTCCATTATGATTATTTGACAATTATATTTATGCATAGGGAAACAAAGGGAATATATGTATTTGACTTCGTTGTAAAAATTCCAATACGATCATTTAAAATGTTTTATTTAAAATATTTATTTTTTTTTTTTAAACTCGAATTTTTAGATGTAAAATTTAGCTCTTGGATGACCAAAGGATGAAAAACTAATTTCATCGTAAAATTGAGATTGATTTATAGTGGAAAGTTTACCAACGGCCGAATTTAGTGTGTACCACGTGTCTTGCAGCCGCGAAATTGGCTTAAAAGAATCGTGAATTTCATCCATATCTGAAATAAACATTAATTCAAATTATCGTTAGTAATTTTCTAGATACATTTACCAGCCTAATTTATAATTTTACGTAAATGCAATTCCATCACCGATAGATAAACAATTTTCTGTCGGTATTTTAAAACGATTATTAAAACTTTAAGGTTACACACACACGCGCGCGCGCGCGCACAAACAAAACACACGCGTGCTTATGCATGATATGTTGGGAATTTATAAAAATACCGAGTATATTTTGTTCATGGATAATCATATGAAAATAATATATAGATGAAAATGAAAACATATCATGCATGAAAATATAAATAACTATAGTACATGACTCTGGTAAAAAATAATATAAATATAATTATTAAATTTAAACTTTGTGCTAACAGGATTTTCAAAAATGTTTAATGCATTAACTATTAGTATTATTGTGTATATTGTTACTAGGTGGCGAAATCTCCACTTGATAAATTTTGTAAGTAACGAATATATTATCTAGTATTGTATAAAATACCTCGTACATCATTATTTGGCTTTTAAGCCAAAATCAAAACACAACCTCGTTGCAACCTGTATGGTATATAATAAAGTGTACCGGAGTATTTACACTATCGTGTGTATATATTACATGCGGATTAATGTGTATGCCCTCTGCAGCTATTCCCCCTCCCCCTTTTAAGCTTCCCCTCTACAGCAATTGTATCGTTAAAGGTTGTATCTGTTGTTTGATCGAGTTTAAAGTGCTGTACATATTTTACGTTTATACACAGATCATCAATATTAAAATCACATAATATAAACGATATTATTTATAGTATTATGAGAAAATAGCTTTTTTTATTACAATAGACAGTATCTTTCATTAGAATTACAGAAATCCAACCCACAAAACTAGTAGAAAGAAAATATATATAAACAGATATTTATTAACTATTTGTACCTGTCATGCAAAGTGACAAAATAATGTTATGCTAAATGCAATTTTTTCACTGTATTTTAAATATAAAATATAAAAATTCGTAGTAATGTTTGGTCATGGCGACGTTACCACCGCGCAAAAATCCAACTCCTACGAAAATTTCGAAAGAGCACCTAACACCGTTGCAAATTCTCCTACAGCTGGGCTTCCCCAAACACAGGGCGTAAGTTTGTGCAACAGTTTAATTTTCAGTAGGTTAATGAAAAATAATAATGTGTAAATATTATATGCAAGCATTTGTTCAAACTGTCAAGAGTCTTCTTTTAAATGGTTTATGAAATTATCTTACATTTATTTTTATTTTTGTTACTCAATAAATAAAACATTGATATTTATATTATTCATTGGAATTTCTTCTATTTACTTATACAGAATTCAACAATCTACTGACACATGATTTGTAAATAATATTAAGTTGAATGTATATTTGAAAACTTTTGTTACTAAGGACAAATAATTTATCAAATATGGAAAATTGTAATTAAATAAGTAAATAATTCAGTAAGAGGCTTATTTTTTCATGTAATTTATCATATTTAACTATTAATTTATAATTACATAAAATTGATGACGTGATGAGTACTTTGATTAAAAATTTGTTCTAATATAGATAGTAATCCAGTTCAATACATTATTTATAGTTTATTATAAATTATACAATGAAAACAATAATATTTAGTTAATACAATAAAAGGAAAAATTATGAACAAAATAATAATTATTTAAAGTCTGTACATTCCTTTATACTATATTATACATAATGTTGTAAACACACACACACACACACACACACACACACTCTCTCTCTCTCTCTCTCTCTTCTATTTTATATATTTACTTTTTTTATAATATACTATTTTCTTCAAAATTGTAATAAATATATCAACTTTGTAGTGCAAAAGAGCTTTAGCAGCTACAGGTCATCGTTGCGTTCAACTTGCTTCAGATTGGCTTTTGGCACACGTCAGAGATCCAACACTTGACTCTATTGAACCAAGAGAATACGTACTTTATTTATGTCCAACCGGACAATTAAACGAACAATTGCAAAAATTTTGGATTAAAAGTAAAGAATTAGAATGGAACGGAGTACATAATTTCATTCCACACATAACACTTGTCTCATTTTTCAAGGTAACAATTATATGACAACTTATAATTTTGATATTGCTTTTGATCGATGTAGCGAATATTCTCTATTATCATCCAATATATATTACATAGGTTTCCGATGAATCTTCGAAAGAACTTACCACAATTCTGGAAACATTAATTAATAGAGATGAGTGTCCAGACACCATTGAATTGGAAACCTATATATCCCCAAATTTCATGGGATTATTTGTTAAAGATGAACAAGCTGAATGGTTGAAATCTTTAGCTCTTAAATATGTAAATAAATTATCTAATATAGGAATCGATGCTGAACCGAATACAAAATCATTACATTTGACACTTGCTTACCAATTTTCAAACTCATTATTCGAACCATTACGCTTAATGGTCGAAAAACTGGAATCAAATAAATTTGCAAATTGGGAACTGAGATTATATTCTAAGGATTCACGATCTACAAATGTTAATGTACATAAAGTAATGCATTCGCATGCTCCACGAGAACATGATGAATTGGAGCTGAGGCCTGGTGATTATATATATGTGCCAGAAGAGGCATGCACTACCTCAGTAGATGGATGGGTCGAAGGCATCTCGTGGTTAACAGGCACATCTGGCTATTTTCCTTTAAATCATACAAAACGTACTGCAGATTCCGACTCTTGGACATTACATTCGACTGTACCAATTATTGAAAATAAAATAGAAATCTTAGAGGATGTAATACCTAGAACTAGAAGGCCACCAATTATGGTTTCAAGTGAATCTTCGGATGCACCAGATGGAGTAGCTGCTGATAACGAGCCTGTAATTATCGAACTATCACAATAGACAGTAGAACCTTGATCATTTGGGATAGTTATGAGCGAAAGTAAATTGATGAATATGTATTTTATATAAGAATAATAATGTTTTCCTCTTTAAAAATGTACTTATTAATTAATCGAGTTTCTACTGTAGTTTGTTTTAAAAATATTTTCCTTATTTAAATTATTGTTTATCAATTTTTTGTATTAGTTGGAAGCTTCAGAACCGATGACACCTTCGTGCCGTGAAATTTTAATTTGCCGACATGGTGAACGAGTAGATTTTACTTTTGGCACTTGGATACCGTATTGTTTTGAAGCAGATGGCCTTTATGTTCGTAGAGACCTAAATATGCCGATAAAAATACCTCCCAGAAATATTCAAGATTTTCAAGATGATTGCCCATTAACAACATTAGGAGAAATACAAGCAAATTTAATTGGAGAAGCAATGAAAGCATCCAATGTACACATAGACATAGCTTTTGCTTCACCTTCTTTAAGATGCATACAAACATTGTCACAAATTTTAAAAGGCTTCCAATCTGATTTGTCCATAAAAATTGAACCTGGTTTAATGGAATGGGTTGCTTGGTACCAAAATGGCTTACCAACATGGATGACACCTGAGGAATTATCTAATGCTGGATTTAAAATAGATAAATCGTATAAACCAGTTGTAAAAGCAGACGAGCTACCTTTAAGAGAAAATGCTGCACAATATTACGATAGAAGTCACATTCTTATAAAAAGTATTATAGAGAGTACTAAAGGTAATATTCTAATTGTTGCACATGCAACTTCTTTGCCGGCTTGTACAAAACAATTAACAGGTGGTAGAGTTCCACATGTAACAGAAATTACACGTTTAGTACAACAGGTACCTTATCTAGCATGTTTAATGGCTAGAGAAAGTCCTCATGGATGGCAACTTCATCCTCCACCATTTCCCCCTATAACACATAGTAGTAACAAAAGATTCGATTGGAAAATTTTAACTTAAATCCAATATGTTTCCTTGGATGATGGTTGTACTGACAGAGAGAAACTATTACATGTTTATTATAAACAAAAATCGCCAATCGTAATAGATATGAAGTACAGATATTGGTATTTAAGTCCAATGTTTACAAGTATTAATAGATTATAGATAGATATATATGTTTTATATATATATATATATATATATAAAAGATTGATTAATTTTCTCGCCATAAATTTTAATACTAATTAAATTAGCATCTTATTAAATATAAAGTTAAATATTTTAATCGCTTTATAAATCTATTTTCCTAATATGTATTTAAATAAAAAGTTGAAATTAATTATTAAGGGCAGTTGTTTTTAAATGAAAAAAAAAATTTGTTTCTATAATGGATTTTAATAATATGAATGTTATCTACTTCAACTACATTGTTACGCTTACCAAAGAAAGTATATTTTATCAGCAAAAAAATACTTTATTAAAAAATATTAACAAGTTGTCAAAAGACATTGCACTGAATATATGCATACACGTGCACTTGTGTATATTATGTGGGTGTATATGCGTTTGTGCGCGCGCGCGTGCGTGCGTTCGGTTTATGTGGCACATGTATGCATATGTTTGAATGTATATACATATATTTATATGATAAACATTTCTCTATAAAAATATAGTTATTAAAAAATCTCAAAAATGTACAAAATTGTTATTTGATTATTAGCCATTTCAATAAATTGTAATAATTAGTAAACACATTTATATAAATTTTATCTACATTTTTCATCTTTTAACTATAAATGCCCTCCTTCCTTTAATTTAGAAATTAATGTATCAACATCAGGCAGTATCGATCCAGCTTGGCGTACTGGTGGATCTTCCACCGATATAATTTGTATTCTGGGAGTAATATCTATGCCTAAATCCTTAGGAGAAATTTTCTTTACTGGTTTTTTTTTAGCTTTCATAATATTTGGTAAAGTTGCATATCTAGGTTCGTTTAAGCGCAAATCAGCACTAAGTACAGCTGGAGTCTTTACTTTAACGACTTCTAAACCACCATCAATCTCGCGAGTAACGGTCAATTCATTTTGACCATGCTCAATCTAATTAAAATAAATATAAAAACAAGTAATATATTATTTTATTTTCTTATTTTAATATGTATTTTAATGCATTCAAAATATCTATAAAAATTACAAATACATATTTATTTTAATTTTTAAAATTAATAATTTATAAATGAAATTACCTTACTACAGAATGTGGCTGTTGGCCAACCAAGAACTCCACCAGTCATTTGAGCAGTTTGATTGCAATCATCATCAATTGCTTGCTTTCCAACGATAATTAAATCTACTTTTTCATCTTGTGCCAATTTGGCCAAGATTTTTGAGACGTGTATTGGCTGTAGAAATTCAGCTTCATTACCAGAAATTTCAACGTGTATTCCTTTATCAGCTCCCATAGCTAGAGCCGTTCTAATAGTTTCTTGAGATGCAGTTGGACCACAGCTAACAGCAATAACTTCTTTGGCTAATTTTTTTTCTTTCATGCGTACTGCCTCTTCAATGGCAATTTCATCAAAAGGATTCATCGAGTGCTTAACTCCATCAACAACGACTCCTGATTTATCAGATTTAACTCGAATCTTTATAAAATTAAATACATTGATGAAAAAAGAATCTGGTAATTAAATTTACTATGCATAAAAACAAAAATATATCGCAAAATATAACATATAAATTGTAATTATAATTAATTGCAAAAAGCTTGTAAAATATTAATTTTTCGAGAATAAATATTAAATATTAATAAAGAAGTATAATTTATACTAACCTTTACGGCATAATCAATTACTCTTTTAATTCCAACAAGTACGCGAGCCATTATTTTAATGTAGAAAGACTAAATAAAACTATGATTTAAATGAAACGAATAATTATTATGTATTGCTTTAGTAATAATACAGCTTACTATGCTGCTAATTTTTCCTAACAAGTGTTTGAGTGTCAAATACGGAGAAAAAATCTCCGATCCAAGGTTCGAATAGTAATATTCTTATTTATTTATATATATATATATATACATACATATGTGTTTGAGTGCGGGGAGAGAGAGAGAGAGTGAGAATGAGCGACTGAGTGACGGTCAAAGTGAGAAGGGGATGATAAACATCGAACTTCGACATAATTTTATCTTTAAATAGATAAGAATTGTTAAATAATTTTATATATTTCTTCGAGCTCGCACATAAATGTAATTTATAAACAATCTATTCGACAATATTCGACATAATAACACAGTTTCCTTTTCTATAATTGTAAAAATAAACAGTGCTTTTTTTTTTTTTAGTTTCGTTTATATTCTATACGAGGTCAGGCGTATAAATAATCGTAATTTTATTTCAACGTGTGATTAGCATAAGTTACATAAATTCGCTCTAAACATATTTATCTTCATCAATTTTTATCCAATATTGCTTTTCTTATATATTTGATACAATTTACGAGATTCGCAATTGCCGATTGAGGTCACGCACATTAATATTCCTTCGATGTACATTCTCGTCGATAATTAGGCAGAATTACACGATGCCTCATCGCAATGAATCCCAATGAGGCAGCAGCCTACAAATAATCGATTAAAACGTTGAAGCTCAATGATGAGAGAAGAGAATTTAAATATCATAAAAATCCACCATTGAACTGATCGCTTAAAAAATTAAGTTTGCATTTCAATTTTGTATTTTATACGCTAATAAAATCAACGACAACACGCATGCGTTGAAAGACTGTGTTTGCCACTCGGACCGCAACTGCGGTTTTTTGCTTGCGACAATGACTGCCAGGCGGAGCCGACATTCAACTCGACTTGAATTCATGTGACGTGGCCCGGATGACGGCTACAAAGTTCATTGAGCGCTGGACTGGTCGACTCGGTCAAATTTCTAGTTGGAATTAAAATTGTTAAAATGATCTGATTAATGTAAGATCATTTGTAGGACTCGAAATTCAGTCGGCTCGAGACCGCACGTTATTTAAGCGAAGCAAGCAGCGCACAGGTATAATATGTCGATTAACCTCACGATGCCTTCGAACATGTTTTAATAATTTATGTGCGATGCGACATACATGCGGTACAAGATTTTTTATTACGATTGTCGAACTATTTTAATAGCGAGATGACGACTTACGAGGAATTCATTCAACAAAATGAAGATAGAGATGGGGTCCGTTTTACGTGGAATGTTTGGCCATCGTCGAGGGTCGAGGCTACCAGATTAGTTGTACCATTAGGAACATTGTATCAGCCAATAAAGGAACGATTGGTTTATCCACCGATTCAGTACGATCCTGTACTGTGCACTAGGTCTACATGTCGGGCAATTTTAAATCCTCTTTGCCAAGTGGATTACAGAGCAAAGCTTTGGGTGTGCAATTTCTGTTTTCAAAGGAATCCAGTAAGTTATCGACTCATCTATTTATATTTTCCAAAACTTAAAAAATTGTCTATATTCTAAATATAACATATACTTTTTATCTAGTTTCCACCTCAATATGCTGCAATCTCTGAGCAGCATCAGCCAGCTGAATTGATTCCAATGTTCTCTACAATCGAATATACAATAATGGTAAATTTTAAGATAAACGTTTTTACTTCTACAGTAAGGATATGGAAAATTTTCTATCGATAAATCTATTATCATTTATAGAGGGCTCAGTGCTTGCCACCGATATTTTTACTAGTTGTGGATACTTGTTTGGACGAAGATGAATTGACGGCCTTAAAAGATTCATTGCAGATGTCGTTATCCTTGCTACCGTCTAATGCATTAATAGGTCTTATTACATTTGGAAAAATGGTGCAGGTTCATGAATTAGGATGCGAAGGATGTAGTAAAAGCTATGTGTTTCGGGGAACAAAAGATTTGTTGCCCAAGCAAGTACAAGATATGCTAGGAATTGGAAGACTAGTTCCTGGACAAAATCCAAATCAAAGAGGACCAAGTGGACAGCCTTTACCTCCCGCTAATAGATTTTTACAACCAGTTCAGAAGTGTGACATGAGTTTAACAGATCTGCTAGGGGAATTACAAAAAGATCCATGGCCTGTTGGTTCAGGAAAGCGTCCCTTAAGATCGACAGGAGTTGCTCTAGCCGTAGCAACTGGATTATTAGAAGCTAGTTATGCAAATACTGGAGCGAGGTACATTTTTTGTAAATTAATTTAATTGCTAAATTTTGAGAATGACATTAAATATTAAAACACTTTATTATTTTTGCAGGATTCTTTTGTTTGTGGGAGGACCTTGTTCTCAAGGACCAGGCCAAGTTGTCACTGATGATCTTCGTCAACCAATAAGGTCTCATCATGATATTCAAAAAGATAATGCTAAACATATGAAGAAAGCAACAAAACACTATGACAGTTTGGCAGCTCGAGCAGCAGCCAATGGTCATATCATAGACATTTATTCGTGTGCGCTTGATCAAACTGGTTTATTAGAAATGAGACAATGTTGCAATTCAACTGGCGGACATATGGTAATGGGCGATTCTTTTAATTCATCGCTTTTTAAGCAAACGTTCCAACGTGTATTTTCTAAAGATACCAATGGTGACCTTAAAATGGCCTTTAATGCAACCTTAGAAATAAAAACATCGCGTGAAATTAAAGTGTCGGGTGCGATTGGCCCTTGTGTATCCTTAAATGTAAAAGGAGCAAGTGTCGGAGAACAAGAAATTGGGTTGGGTGGTACTTGCCAATGGAAATTTTGTTCGTTGACTCCTTCAACAACAACTGCATTATTTTTCGAAGTTGTTAATCAACAAGCAGCTCCAATACCTCAAGGAGGACGAGGCTGTATACAATTTATCACGCAATATCAACACAGTAGTGGCCAACGAAGAATCAGAGTAACAACAGTTGCTAGAAAGTAAGTAATGAAACGAAATAACAAATTATTCCCAATGACTTGTCTTACGATTTGACTTGTTTTAATTATATATAGTTGGGCAGATGCCTCGTCATCTTTACATCATATAGCTGCTGGATTTGATCAAGAAGCGGCTGCAGTTCTTATGTCTCGACTTGCAGTTTTCAGAGCTGAAAGCGAGGATGGCCCGGATGTTCTAAGATGGGTAGACAGAATGCTTATAAGATTGGTAAATAATCAATAATATATACAATAAATTAGATTTTTTCATAAATTACGATAAATGTTAAATATTATTTCAGTGTCAAAAGTTTGGCGAGTACGCTAAGGATGATCCAAATAGTTTTAGGCTCGCAGAGAATTTTTCTCTCTATCCACAATTCATGTATCATTTACGTAGATCGCAATTTTTACAAGTTTTTAATAATTCTCCGGATGAAACTAGTTTTTACAGAAACATGTTAATGAGAGAAGATTTAACCAATTCGTTAATAATGGTTCAACCACTATTGTATAGTTATGGGTTTGGTGGTCCGCCAGAGCCAGTTTTATTAGATACATCATCCATACAATCAGACCGAATTCTGCTGATGGATACATTTTTCCAAATTCTTATTTTCCATGGGGAGGTATTTGACATATTTTACTTAAATTCTTTCATGAATAATACTTAAGTAATTTTATTGTTAATAAACTAACCTAAATATATTTAGACGATAGCTCAATGGCGTCAATTAAAGTATCAAGATCTTCCAGAATACGAAAACTTCAAGCAATTACTAGCTGCGCCTATAGATGATGCTGCTGAAATATTAGTTGGAAGATTTCCAGCTCCTAGGTACATTGATACTGAACATGGTGGTTCTCAAGCTAGGTTCCTTCTTAGCAAAGTCAATCCTAGTCAGACACACAACAATATGTATGCTTATGGAGCGGTAAGTTAGTTTTTTTTAATTAAATAATTATTTTTTTATAAGTAATCATGTTGACTATATATATATATATATATATATATATATATATATATACATTATTTATACAAGCATTGTAATTAATAAATTTTTTATGTTATCCTGATCCTGTGAACCAGGGGATGCCGATGTCCAATGGGGTTGGTTGTTTTGTAAACTGTTATTTAAATATTCATTTATTTATTTTAAATGCTTCTTTGCTAAATTATTCATTTATTCGTGGGATTGTGGTGAAAAGCTTTTAATTATAAATATTAATTTTTTTTTTCTCATTCCAACATATATCACATTAACAAACAAAAATTTGTAATAAAAAGCAGTATTTGGCTACACACATATGCACATTAATATGAATTACTATCGTTTTGTATATTATCTGGTGAAGGGAATAATAATACTGAGCTTAAAGATTCATAAACATGTAATTTTCAATATTACCTTTTAATTCTTTTTCTTCTACATAGGAAAGTGGAGCTCCAGTATTGACGGATGATGTTAGCCTACAGGTATTTATGGAACATCTAAAGAAATTGGCAGTATCATCAACAGCTTAATATATAACATTGAATTAAATAAAATCGATCATAACACTGTTTTTGTATATGATAATGAATATGTTAAGTATATAAAGTAATATGTATTTGTTAAGGGCACTAGGGTTTAGTTTATTGATTCCAATGTACCATATTGCATTTATCACAATTAAAAACTAATAATGCCACAATTCCTCAACATATAGTAGTAACCTCTTAAATGATTAGTACGATTGGTTTCATTTAAATAAAAACATTACATTTAATTAGGTGACCATATTTATGCTATAAGTACAGAGATTTGTTTGTGCAAATGAATAATGATAAATTAATAACTACAATCGAGATTTTCTATAATTTGTACATACTTTTGCTATTCTGAATAAAAATAAAATAATAAAGTTATTAATGCAGTTATAACTGAATGTATTTGTTTAAACTATAATAAAATTAATAGAAAAATGAATTAGGTAAAAAATGGAAAGAAAAATATGTATCTACAAATAATAATTTATTCCATGTCGTTATTTAATGACATTAAGTATTGTACATAAGTACAGTCAAGACTGTCAGAGAATAAAGAAGAATTTTATAATTAAGAACTCGCTGTAACTGTACGTAACCAATTTGCTAAGAAATAAATGCTAGCCAGAGCATTTATGAAATACAATAAATCTCGTTAATATTATTAAATATAAAAGATTTGCGCGTCCATTATTTTTAATAATTAAATTAATTCTAGTGACGGTAAATGTACACTGTTCATTTTGCCTATAACCTTGAATAAACTTGAGCTAGTTTTAATAGTTAAATATGTCCCTAAGCCATTAATGCAAAGAAAAATTTTCTCTACATTCACGATGCATCACCATAATAAACTAAAATTAAATTTGATACTATTTAATATACAATATTTTAACTAAGAAAGCGTATCGACATTTTTTGTTCAACGTCTGTTCTCTCAAGAGCTTTACAGAATTCTTCAAAATTTATCATGTTATCTCCATCTTCATCAGCTTCGGATAATGTTCGTTCCGCTATACTTGAAAGCTGTTCTTCGCTAAAACAAAGGAAAAATAAAATTTATTTATCAAAATTAATAGACACATACGACAAATACAAATCAAAAATACTTACCTAATATTAGCACCAACCATCATATGTAATATAGCTAGTAGTTCATCCTTGGAAATTAAATCATCGTTGTCCAAATCATACATTTTAAAGGCAACTGCAACGAACGTAATATATAATAATATGATATTTTTAATAAGGAAAATATAATATTTTAATTAATCTTAAAAACACCGAAGATTATTTTTCAAAAGTCATAAGTGAGAAAAATGAATGTTAATAAAATGTAATGGAAAAGAAATAGGAATAAAGTTGTATCGAAACGATGTTACATTAGTAATAAAGTAACATTACCGCAAGTAATACAGTTACTTACATCTTAATTTTTCTTCTCGAGAATTTAATATATTTTGGCTATTCTTTTTAATAGGCCTAAAATGTGCAAGAACTTGCATAAATTGAAGAAAATTGACTCTGTCGTTACTGCTTTCCTCAAAAAATGCATTCACAATTCTATCACCTAACGGATTAATAGCTAATTCAGGAATTCTTAAGAAATCTTCTCTACTCAGTGTGCCACAATCTCCTCGATCCAAGCTTGTGAAGCGACTGTACAGTCGCTCTATTTGATTTTGAGTAACTGAAAACAAAATCAATGTCGAATAATACTAAGAAGCTTTTGTAATTACAATACGCTTAACGATGCATTAAAACCAAGTTTTTTATATTAAAATGCCACAGCACCATGAATTACTTGATAAGAAATATTAAATAACCGGTATACACATAAGTAATTTCATTATTATTCAAGGGCAACTGCTTTCTTACAATGAGCTGCTTACATTAAATGAACAGAAAACTTATTCAAAAAGTTCCTCACAGCGATATACTCACAACCAGTACTCTCTTGAATTTGTGCGATTTCTTCTTCGCGTAAAAGCAAGCTGGATCTGTTACCCATTTTCGTAACTCGCAACGATATCGAGGAGTAATTTATGGTTTCTTATCAGCCTCGATTGACTCGTTGATTAAGAGCGATTATCGAGTCAGGAAGACATAATCAGTAACGGAGCCCGTAGCTCCGCAGCCTCATCTAACGCACGGCAATGCCTAATCTGACAACACGCAACATGCGCAACTACGTACAAACAAACCGTGGATGACAAATAGCGCGGATCTCCGCTCTATCCAACAACAATTGGCGAAGGTTTGGGATTTTCACCGCTGCTTCAGCAATGGTTGCCGACGATCCGAGATGGCGGGCCTTCAAGGATATTGGGGATCGACAAGACATTAGTACGAGGCTCGACCACTGATTGGCGCCCGAATACAAACGCCGAACCAAGCGATCGACAATTCACGCCAAGTGCACTACTTAATTATTGACCAGGGTTTTAAATTCCAGCTTGCGCTAGTCATCCACGGGGACTGTGTTACAGTGCGTACAGATGATAATGATTAGATGAAAATTGCTTGATAGTCGTATCGATTGTTCGGTATTCGTTTGATTTGGATCATTTGTGTAATTGCTCTCGAATGAACTTCAAAAGCCTAATTGATAATTAATTTGGCTGACTGTGCGAAAATTGACGTGGTGGCTCACCATAATTGCCATCCATTATACCGCGATAAAATTTTTTAACTTTTTAATTAATTTCGCCTATGTACATACATATATAACTTATTGCATAAAATATTTTAAATATCATTGGTATTTTTTTTCTATTTTGTGCAAGCTTATTTACTAATAAAAAGGCAACTGAAGTTTTTGAAGGTAAAAATTTACTATAATTACGTTGTTTAGCTTACATAATACAAAGTATTTTTCGATTTTTCGATAA